GCCTCAGTGCACGCTGGAGGTCCTGGTTTGATGGAGCCAACAGGACAACGTCATCTGCAAAAAGCAGAGACGAGATCCTGTGGTCCCCAAACCGAACTCCCTCCGGCGCCTGGCTGCACCTAGAAATTCTGTCCATAAAAATAATGAACAGAACCGGTGACAAAGGGCAGCCTTGCCATGCACTGGAAACAAGTCTGACTTACTGCCGGCGATGCGAACCAAGCTCCTGCTCCAGTCGTACAGGGACCGGACGGCCCTTAGCAAAGGGCCCCAGACCCCGTACTCCTGGAGCACCCCCCACAGGGCGCTGCAAGGGACACAGTCGAATGCTTTCTCCAGATCCATAAAACACATGTGGACTGATTGGGCAAACTCCCATGAACCCTCCGCCACCCTGAAGAGGGTATAGAGCTGGTCCAGTGTTCCGCGGCCAGGACAAAAACCGCATTGTTCCTCCTGAATCCGAGGTTCTAACTATCGGTCGAATTCTCCTCTCCAGTATCCTAGCATAGACTTTCCCGGGGAGGTTGAGGACTTTGATCCCCCTATAGTTGGAACACACCCTCTGGTCCCCCTTCTTGAAAAGAGGGACCGCCACCCCAGTCTGCCAGTCCAAAGGCACTATCCCCAACTGCCATGTGATGTTGCAGAGGCGTGTCAGCCAAGACAGCCTCACAACATCCAGAGAGTTAAGGGACTCGGGGCGGATCTCATCCACCCCCAGTGCCTTTCCACCGAGAAGCTTCTTAACGAGTGTGAACTTCAGTTGCATCCAGTTTCCTCTTTAGTACACACTCCTTGTCTTCCTATCTGGAAGGTGATTATAAAAATACACAGACACTGTCTGATTCTCTGAGCCTCGGCTGATAGACTGTACTGTCTAACACTGTCATTTGTATGCTCCTCTGCAAACAATAAAAGATTCATAGACAAATCCTCTTCTTCAAACTTCAAGTAATCAGTGTTCACACGCTCAGACACAACCTCACAGATCTCTCACAGTCCCAGGCACATAACTGTTATTTTGTTACTGGATTTCTTCCCAGGTGTCATGAACTGAATTTGATCTGCTGAACTGTGTTTTCTTTCTAAATTTGGTATGAGACACCCCCCGACACTCACTGATAATCTAACCCTTGTGAATACACTGAATTTTTAAGTACATGTTCAGCCAAATCCCCTCTCAGCAGAAGGCAGAATATGGTTTCCGTCCCTCGTGGGGTGACTGTTGTCTTTGGGTCAGAGGCTTGTAGTGGTCAGTTTCTGCATCGGCAAGGCAAGACTGCTCTTTTTTTCTTTAGTCATGTCTGCAGGTAAACATGGCCTGGCAAGTTTTAAGTGATGTCTTATTGGATAAAACCACTGGCACATTAGGCCGAGTGAAGCCTTCCATCAGTGTGAACAGCACGTCTGCACTACAGATGAGTCCAGTCCCGCAGTCTCAGCCCTTTTATTATGCAGTGTCAGTCATTTTTAGACTTTGTTATGACTACAGCATAAATCTCAATTTCACAATGGTTGGAAATATGATGAGTTTCTCTGGGACTGGAGAGAGACTTTAAACATAAAGCTTGCTTTTTGTGCTCTCATTGCACTGTTATTATGGCTTTGGTTTGTGGGTTAATATTGTACATAACCGGTCCATCAATGCAGACGTGATAGTGATAAGTGGAGGAATGTACTTGGCTTGAGCGTTCTCGTTCATTTACCATGTGCAGCACTGACACGTGAAGTTGCCACAGGAGATTTTCTTCCTGCGGAGGGCAGCATTTGTCTGACAAAGAGTGATCATGTGTGGTTTTTAATATGTGCATGCACTATTTAAGTAAAGGCAGCAACACCACTGTGTAGAAATACTCAAGTTCTCTATTCATAATTTCAGTTAAGCAGGTATTACCAGCAAAGTAAAAGCATTATGAAGTGAAATCCCTCTTAAACTGATCAAAGTGGTGCTAATGTTTAGTAATTGTTATATTGCTTGGTAATTTAATCAGATTTTTGTGATCACATTTAAGTTATTAGTTTTTATAGCTCATATAAATAAAGTGCATCGAAATGCATTGATTCTCTGTGAAATGTGGTGGAGTGGCATTTTCTTTAACTTTTTCAGCAGTGAGAGGGTGTCGTATAGGACAATTGCCAAAATTACTAAAGCTAAAGTTACCTACCTCATAGGCCAAATACTGTGGGAAAGCTAACACCGTCTTAATGCAACTCAAAAGAGCATCTAGTGTGAGAGAAATTGAATCTACAAGATTTGAAACACACCTGTGCTTTTTCATTTTTCATATTTATTTCTTGAATAAAAAATAAACAGTGGCTACTCACATATAGTATTTAATAGAGCAAAATGCCTAAAGTTAAATTTCAAAAGTCACTAAGAGTAGAGGAGGAGTGAAGTGTTTCAGTAGCCTCACATTTTTTAAACAGGGTGAAGAAATATTTTCCTGTCAGCATACTGTGAGGCTCCTAAGATTTCTCCACTCAGACATGTTATGCATTCCAAGGCAGAGCGGTGATAATCCTACCAAAATCTACGCATTATGTCATATCAAAGAGCACAGTCTGCAACCGGGTAAAGCTGACGTGACTGTGGTGCAACATTAGGACACAGCTCGACAGCAGCATTCTCAAGAAGCTACTTGAGACTGAGACTGAAAACACTGCAAGTAGAGCAAAGAATTGAAACAGGCTGTGAGCTGAAATAAATATTCGCTAGGTTTTATTGATTTCCCATGTTTGTGGTCCCATTTATGAAAAAAACTCCAGTTCCTATTCTCCTTTTGCTATAGCGTTACCAAGGGTTTACTCACTCAGGTTTAAAAGTAAAGTTGTACTTTGACTTTTTGGAGTGTCCTTAGAAACACAACAAGGTCCTGAACTCTGATTAAAGGTCTATCACCTGTACTAAGGTACTATATGAAACAGCTACACGACCCCCTGGAGCTCTGCTTTCCCTGGGCTCAGACAGTTTTTTGTTTTTGTCTTTTTTCTCAGCTGACCATTCAGCTGTTGGCAGCACCTGTGCACTTGGTAACTGCTGCCTTAGCTCAGCACAGGAGTTTTACAACAGGTAATGATTTTAATGAAATCCCTCTGCTCCCGTCTGAGGTGGCTGCTAGAATCTATAGGCCCAAATTCAACAGAATGTCTTATTTTGTACAGGGAGAAAGGAGATCTG